AACTTTGCGGCATAATTCAATGAGAAATGATGTATAACCAACACAGCAGTGTGAGTCAAGATGAACACACGTGCTGCGCAATTAGATGTTCTCTTAAGACCCGGAATGCACTGTATTCGGAAGCTGCCCTACTTGCACCACATGATTAAACAAGCCCGAAAATATTACCATTGGCATCTCTGATGCAAATGTACAATTCCTTCAAATTTCAGTCGAGCCGGTCAACTTCTTCTATGAGCAACTTTTTTCTTCTTGTTGTCGTTTTAGTGGGTAGATAAATTTACAATTTTTGTGAAACCATGAAAACTTAAAATTGCGAAGAATGCCGTGTGTTAAACGAAGAATGAACTAACAAATATTCCCTTGGTAATGCAAGGAATAAAGCAGCGTGTGTATTGAGTCATGAAATTATAAACGCATTTAGAAAGTATAATCTGAAACGACACCACATGAAACAAAACAGTGAATTTGATTGTAAACGTTTAAGGAAAGAACGCAAAAGTAAAGCTTGCGAAAAAGCTGAAGAAACAATAAATGTTACTTAAAAAGCAATCAAAACTCTTCAAAATAGTCATACAGAAGAAAGTTTCTTGGTCACATTGCTCAATGTGATAAGCCCTTTTTAAATGGAGTTCATTAAGCAATGAATGGCAAAGCGTGCAAGCGTATTGTGTCCCGAAGTGAGAAACAAATTTGTAAGCATTTAATAATAAAAAAAGACTATTAATGGTGAATTCACTGAAAAGCTTGACTGCTAACAAAGATCTTAGATTTTCTTTGGCACTGAAAATTTCTTCATCACAGAAGTCTAGAGTTAATGAAAAAGAAAACCATTGGCCAGGACTTGCTGTTGTGAATTGTGTGGAGGGAAAAGCCTCGTCCTGGAAAAAATATCAGGCATTATAACAAATGGGGCCAGAGCTTTCAGTGGACAAATGAAGTTATAGCTAAGTTTCTAAAAAATTAAAAGCACAAAATACAGACATTGATATTTTGTCTTTTCACTGTATTTTGCATCAGAAGAGCCTTTATAAAACCTCACTGGATTTAAATTTAAGGATAGATCCAACTGTTGGTGTGGTGAACACAATCGAAGTAAGGGCACTCTACCATCGGCTGTTCAGATACTTTCTTAAGAATGCGAAGGCAGATTGTGAAGACATAATTTACCACAACAGTGTGTGGTCGTTAAGCCTGCACAAAGGGATAAAGAGTCCGTGAATTGCCAAATGAAATCCTCTTATTTCTGGCCAATAAATTGCCCTCGTGCTACTTTATAGCGCAATGTTAATATTACTCTCTCTCACACTTTTCTTTCTGGACACGAAGGGGATTTCTCACGATTTTGTTACAAAAATTGAATGTTAATATTGCAGGTATGAGATGATATTGTAATTGATGTACATCCGACTCTTTTTTTACACGGTCTTTTTTTACACGATTTTGATAGAACACGGTACACGAATTTAATGAACTCTTTTTTTACATTAAATTTTGTTCTAGCACGAATTCCAAACAAATTTGAGGATTCGTGCCCTTTGGATACAGACGATTTGATCGAATTTAAGACAGTTTATGATAATAAAGAAGTCTATGGAAGTCGAAGGTGAAGTTCAGCTACTAACAGCTGATTTAATTCCCTGGGGCTTGAAATTTGCTACAAGTATGGGGAACAACATTTTCTTACTCATGATCCTGACAAAGAATGTGTGCATTAAAACTTCAACGCAAATGTAAGTTTTTTGTAACAAAATATCAAGAACAGTATGAGAAACTTAAGAAACGCACACACACATATCATTTTGTAACTAAAAAGAAAAAAGAAAGAACGAGGTCGATAATAATGAACGAAATTCTTCATTTGAATCCAAACCGGCAGTTGTGCTATACATATTTAACACATCTATTAATGGTAGCATATTTGATACAGTTCGTAATAAATATGCACGCTTGTTATCAAGTAGCGATGAATAGTTGTTAGTAGTTTTATTCCTAATTTTAATTTGAATTTTTATGTGCTGTATGTACTTATAGACAAAATTTGTACTCTACAATAATTTTCTTTTTATAATAAATATGTAACATGGATTTTATTATCACTTTTTTGCAAGGGTTTTTGGAAAATATTTAGAGAATTTTCATCTTACACGATTTTTTAAAATTGTGGGGCATATCCCCAAACTTATCGCATGCCGCATGTATTTTTTTACTCGGTTTTCTTAGTGCGTATCTTCCGTGTAAAAAAAAGAGTTGGGTGAATGTGAGATTTCAGGAAAAGAGGCTGTTTGCATGTGAAATATGAAAACATGTGTAAAATCATTCAAAGCAAAACTAGACCTATTAGAAGAGTAAGAAGGTGAAAGCAATTTTTGGCATTTACCTTAATTAGGAAAACAGAAAGTGCTTAGGAGTGTTTCTTCGAAGCTTAGAAACATTTGCAAACTTCGGAGGATGAAATCACAACAATAGTTTAGGATAATATTTAGGAAAATTAGTTCCTTTTAAAATCGGTTTTTTCTCTTATCCCATCACTGCTGCTATTGCCACAGCATCTCAGAAGCTTCAAAAAGCATTAAGGTCTATCTCACTGCAAAATGAATGATTAATGCCGTGAAATTAGTTGACTTTTACAAATTTTCGTCTGCCGAAAAACTTACATCTATAAAATATTTGCAGGGAAAAAAATCTCTGTATGTGGTTTACATATAATTGTGTGCAAAGTTTTCCTTGTTTTAAAATCAACAAGAATAAATATAAAGGATCTTTGTCGGTCATTAAATTGTAATTGTTGAAAATTTCAACAAGGAATTTCACTCCTGATTTCGAAGAAAGTTATAGAAAAATGTGATAAGGAACATGCGTCTCTGTAAGCTACAGTCGGACCTGTATTTAACGAAGTCGCTAAATCCGGGAAAAAAAGGTTCGTTATGGGGAAAATTCGTTGCATCCGAAGGTAGTATGTGACTACCTTCGGAGCATTTTTTTTTAAATATATGAATTTTCAACTAACTAAACACTTTTTTTAATGGGGCATAAAACTAGAAATTCGAATACAATTTCCACAAAATTAAGTGGCCGCGGTAGCCGAGTGGTATAGTTATAGGATCGTGGCTTGCCTTGTTACGAGTTCGAGACCAGTACCACTAAAGACCCACCATGTAGGGCAGCGATGCACGTTAAATCTGTCGAGAGCTGAAACGTCCTCCCGTTGGTGTGGTAGTTAAGAGAGAGGTTGCCAGCTCAGGTGTCGTCCACGTCACTTGACCATGGTTCAAAATTACGTAGTCCGTCTCTAAAAGCCCCCGTATAGCTGAACAGTGCCACGTTAATATTCACTCACTCACACACTCCAAGATATATGGACACACGGGTTCTATGATGAGTATTTTGGTGGGGAAAGCGAATAGTTTTATAGCAGAAATTGCGTTTTTAGCTGACGGTGTTTTCAGCGAATTGCGAAGATTATCATTTTTGTTCCGAAAAAATAGTTAATGTTAAAAGGTGTCTTATTTTTTTAAATATTAATGAAGATCTTAGGTAACGCGATTTGACTATTTATTTTGATTGAACGGTGTATATAATTAATCTTACAGTTAAATATCTATAATTAATTAATTAGCTCTAACTGATTAAATTTCCCAAAGTTGAGTATTTTATTTATGTATATCCTTTAATTTTCAATGTAGTGATTCAAAGAAAAATGTTGCATGAAAAAAACTGCAGTAAATCGCAATGCGATAGATAAAGGGTTGACGGACATCAGGCCCTCTACACGGTGGGTCTTCAGTGGCTGACTCGTATGACAAGCCTGCCACCTGTGAGTTCATGACCATTACCACTAAACTACAGCAACTACTAATTCGATTACAGATAACAATAATTAAAACATTTTCAGTTTGTCTCTTCCTCCTTTTAAGTTGATTTTTTTTTTTTTTTTTTTTTTTGCACTTACAACTTTAACTTCATTTCATACCAAAATAAATCTAATGACATACAATTTAATTGAAATAATTTCAAAGCACAAGTAAGATTATATCACTATAAGCATTTGCTTACATATACATGTTACGTATTGGCCGAGTGTAGTATTTTGTCGAGTGTTAGTAGGTTTTCATTAAAAACATCTTCAGTGGACGTTCATCTTTTTTATTTTGAAGCACACATCAAAAGTTTAGGACAAAATTAGGGTACATTTTCACGTTGACGAGACAAACAAACTTGCGACGATTATAAAGCAAAGCGGACAGGAGACAAGCAGCAGCAACATCTTGGAGGACACCACACAAAGACACAGAGAGCAGCTATTTACATTCTAACATGATGAAGACAAGCGGACAAAGAGAGCGGTTACATCAGATTTTTGCTTTTATACCAACAGTGGTTATTACGTAATAATAGTTCTGATTGGCTAGAATGGGCGGGACAAAGATTTCGGACTAGCCGATTACGATTAAGATTACAATGTTAATTTTAAACCAAAGAGTTAAAGTTATTTTAAAGATTAGTACAAAGAGTTAATAAAAAGGATACTAGAGGGAATCATTACATATATATGTAATTTACGGTTCTCTAAATTATTTTTATAGTTTGTAATAATTTCAGGAATAAAGGAATTCAGAAAAAAAATGAGCTTTAAAGCAAATAGCATACAATACATCCCTTACTTATAAAGCGGGAAAGGATCGTACTTAAGATTATTATCTCTTAGGACTGGCAATAAATAATTTTAATTTATAATTTATAATTTATTATTTAATTCCAACTATTAGCTCACACTCTCCCTATATATATATTTTGTTTAAATTTTCAATCGTTAATAAAATACTTTGCATTCATCCACTGAAGTTCAAATGCATTTCTTAAAACTTGTAGTGGATGAAACTTGATGCTAATACATTTTTACAAACATTGATTCATTAATTAAATTAAAAAATGAATAAATAGTAACAAACAAAAATAATAGTCCAGCAGCATATATAGAAAGGAAAATCTTTCGTTGTGTCTCTGTAGCGCAATGGATAGTGCATTGAACTTCTAATCCAAAGGTCGTGGGTTCAATTATCACCTGGGATGACCTAATTTCTGGAATGTGATTTCTTTTTACTATACTATTTTATTAGAATAATTAAATTTAATTAATAAATAAATAGTAACAAAAACAAAAATAATAGTCCAACATCATATACAGAAAGGAAAATAGAAAATTGCAAGAAAAACCTCTTTCTATTTTGCCATTTAATATTGTTGTTGTTGCTAATGCCACCTGTCTGACGTAGTCAGATCGAGGTCCACGAAATTCATCATGGCAAGGTGTTAGATGTATGCCTGTCGTTGGCCGTAGCCTTCAGCACCATATAGGTGACAGTACGATTTGGCTTTGCTCCAGCCCAATTTTGAGGGAGAACACCCTGGTGGAGGATCAGGGGGCCCCCACCTCTCTTCCCCATCCACCAACCTCGCGAGAAGACTTGTGGCTGGACGGCTATTTACAGTACCCCATGCCCCAAAGGCACTATAAATTTACAAACATCCATGTCTTCTCCGGGGTTCGAAACCAGGCCCTACGCCACAGAAGTCTGCGTCGCTAACCACTATACCGGATGGGCGACCTTAATATTGGGATATGCAGTGGCGCACACAAGGTGGGGGGGGGTCCTCGGGTCCCCCTTTCACCAAAGCCCTTGAATTTTTTCGATTGATTATAATCTTTTCTTTATTGTGCGTAAAATTTAGCTAAAACTTTGTTATTAATAATTAATTTTATTAATTAATGCAAATTACTTATTCAATGTTAAATTTTACTGTTTTTTGTTCCCGATGATCGGCAAAATCAAAAGAATATGTTGGGTAGTGTATTGGAGCATGATATGAGAATGGTGCACTTCCAACCCGGCCCCCCCCCCCTTCCTTGAAAATTTCTGGAGTACGCTACTGGTCATATGTATGTACATGCTTATATTAATTATAATTATTTAATAAAAAGTAACTAAAATGAAATTTTTCCTTGTTAACGTAAGTACAAATTGACCTAAATTTTTTTTTTGTATATATTACTTGTTTACGAATTAATTTCGTACCAGAGAAATTCATTTGTTAATAACAAAACGCAGATATTTTTGTAGGAAGATTATCTTTTTATATAAAAATAATTATATATTTAAGCATACGAAGAAACGTTTTTTTTTCGCCAAAAAATGGCCTTTGTAAAACATTACGAATATAGTAATAAGATTATGCAAATATTATTCGCAAAAATCCTTTCGCCTTTCCAAGAACACGTCCCTCCTGAACGAACCCTATCCCAAACATGTCCACCACAAAGACACACACAAAAAAACGAGTCATTTTTTGCGCTTGCATGACATCGTAATTCCTACTCTACTGGAGAAGGGTTTCAAAAACCGCATTTGCATCTATCAATTAGGAATATTAATAAGTATCTAAGTACATCCGGGAAATTATTCAGTTCCACCTGAAAGCACACAAAAGTTACAGCGCTGCGGCGAGAAAGCGCCAACTGTGGTAACCATGAACTTCACCTCACGCGAAAAGAGGCAAGGCCATTCTACCTGCGAGCGCTATTCCTCCACCGCGTCTGCGAAGGAATCACGGGAAAACAGACCGGGCCCGCCTAGGGCTTATTCGGATGGGTTTATGACTGAGGAAAGCAAAAAGTACTGATAAAAAACATTGCACCGCGGAGAAGGAGGGGTTCAAGATAAGACTACCAGCTTGATGTTTAGCCGCATCACTAACTCTACTACTTTCGGTCTTTTATTTATTTTTTTTATTCTCTTTTTCTTTTCGATCTCCCCCCATCCTCCACTTTATCACCTGACCTGTTGGTTGGGGTCAGCGGACATAGGGAAAGACCTGTTGGGCAGGAATTCGGCCGCAAATTCGTTTTTTTTTTTCTATCTCTGTTTAAGAGTTATTTTTTCTTCTTTTTTGTTGTATTTGCAGAGGAGAGGAGTATAAGAACAAATGGCTCTTTAAATCACTTTCAATGGCCGCGTAGAGGTAAAGCTCTTCGCATTGTCTTTCGCTGTTATACTGCACTGAAAGCTGACATCATGAAATATAAAGTTTCTGTTCTTGGTTCTTGATACGCCAGGCATTTTTCTTTACTTTTTTGTTTGTTTATGGGTAAAAAAAACAGTTTTTCCACGTTTGTGCCATCTTTTGTGGATTGAGCGGGTTTCTCCTGAAGCCTTCAGTGGATTTCTCTTTTCGTTCTTTTCTGTTCCTCGAAGGATTTTGTTCTGAAGTTGGGCTTATATATAGAGTGAGAAATATTGCCTCACAACAGACTAATTTAATTTGGAGGAGGGAAGGGGTTATATTCTTAAAAGACATAAGCAAAAGAATCGAGACACAATCTTTACGCTAAAAATTAAAAACCGTTGGTCTATGAAGGGGTTTGAGTACCAAAACCCCACTCTTACCTGTCACTGCTTAACACTTACCTTAAAATCCGGCGTATAATGCACACCTAAACTTTCAAACTGCGTTTTTTTAATTTTTAGGTATATTCGCCGTATAGCGTTCACAGCCTTTTTTCAATTCCTACTATACCTTCACAATCTCCCTATATATATATATATCTTGTTCAAATTTTCAATCGTTAGTAAAATACTTTCTGTTCATCCATCCAAGTTCAAATACATTTTCTTAAGGTATCCTACTACGGTCGGAACCGTGATTTTAAAAAAGCGCATCAATGGATAATTTTCATGATATTTAGTGTCACTTAGATTAGAATACATGTATAAAATCGTTTTAAGGACATTTTGACAGAAAAAAAAGATTACTTAAATACAATACTTTACCAAAAAATTAACTTAGAATAACCTTTTTCAAAATGTTCTCCTTTTATAAAAAATACTTCTAAAATAATAATATTTTCCTTATGTAGAGTAAAGACTTCTCCAGAGAGGCTGGACTATTTTTTTTTTTTTTGAAAAATTCACATTATTTTCAGTGTTACAACCCTTTGAAATAATTATGGGCGTTTTTTTCTTAAAATTTCTTCCCTCTGTTGTCGTAAAATATGGATAAACCCACTTCTAAGTTATGTATTTCAAAAATTCTAGTTGAGCCTCTGTACAGAGGTCTGAGCTATATACAGGCAAAATATTATTATATTAGAAGTATTTTTCACAAAAGGAGAATATTTGGAAAATTGTTCATTCTATGATCATTTTTTGTCGAAATATTGTAATTAAATAATTTTTTATTGTAATACTATTCTTAAAACAATTTTATATACATTTTCTAATATATAAGTGACACTAAATATCATAAATATTATCCATTTATAAGCTTTTGCAAAATCACTGTTCCGAACGTAGTCGGATACCTTAAACTTGTAGTAGATGACACTTGAGGTTAATATAGTTTTTTCAAATATTAATTCATCAGTTAAACTTAATTAATGAATAAATAGTAACAAACAAAAAATAATAGTCTAACACCATACATAAAAAGGAAAAACGCTCGTTGTGACCCTGTAGCGCTTTGGGTAGCGCGTTGGACTTCTAATCCAACGGTCGTGGGTACGAATCCTACCTGGCATGGCTTAACTTCTGAGAATGGGATTTCCTTTTTACTGTACTATTTTATTAGAATAATTCAATTTAATTAATGAATAAATAGCAACAAACAAACAAAATAGTTCAACACTATATATATAAAGGAAAATCGCTATCTATTTTCTCACTTAAAATTGGGATTCTGTCATATGTATATACATATTGATATTAATTGTAATTATTTAATAAAAAGTGACTAAAATAAATTTTTCCTTTGTTGACCTAAGTAGTAATTGACTTAAAAATTTTTTTATATTACTCGTTATGAATAAACTTTAAATGTACTTATGCAATGCTCTTATGTTTTGAAGTCATTTATTCGAGATGTTATCCCAGGCTTTTGAAAAAATAGTTACCTTTCGAACTACAGCTCTTAGAGTTTGTAAGGCACGTCATTTCTTTTAAATAAACAGTATTTCGATAGATGTAGAAGTCTAATTTTTCTTATATATGCTTTTTTTTATCTCTTCTTTCATTTTTTAAAGCGACCATTTTTATACCCGGCGTATAACGTGCACCCGTAAATTGTGATCTTAATTTTTTGCGTTAAAAGTGAGCGTTATACTCTGGATTTTGAGGTACCGTTGTGATGTACCTCCCCTTGGAAGTACATCCCTCGAAGCCTCAGCGTGAGCTAGAGGTGTAGGATTAACGTAAGAACTAGAATCAAACATTATCTTAATATGACTTTATTAAGATATTCAACTTAAACTTTGAACAAATATAATGTTATAAATTAATGAGAGAATCTACGATGAGAGAGAGACACAATACGCAACACACAATATGATTCAGACCTATCTCAATAATTGAACCGCCTAATCTTCAAATATAATAATAATAATAAGTAATCAATCCTACCTTATATTATTCTGTAATAAACTTGTCTTTATCTACAATGGTATGTAGCTTGACGTTTAACTTCTAATCGATCACCAATATGTTTATCCACGACACGTAGAACTTGAATCTTTGAACGGCGAACTTCAATAATCATCCAATACCACAACGCACCTCAATTGTCGAACATTCCTTTACACTACCATTACATTGCCATCATTGCCATTCATTGCCATCATTGCCATCATGCTTACTCTAAGATCCTATATTATTTGCATCTCTTCACTTCTCGTTTCTTGAATTTGGTTGGAAAAGAGTTGCCATTAATTCTGGCCCAAAGAACCCAAAGGACTTGTTAAGGAAAAGACGCGTAAGTCGTCACACCATAAAACGCGGCGCTTAACGCGCCCTTTTAACATCAAAAATCAGATCGGAATTTACAGGTGCGCGTTCTACGCCGGGTATAAAAATGATAACTTTTTTTTCAAAAATGAAAAAAAATGATGAACATAAAAAAGACTTCTACTCATAGATCATAATATTGTTTATTTACATTGAATGTTTTTCTAATGAACTTAAAAGGTTGTAGTTCTAGAAGTATATAATATTTTTTCAAAAAACTGGGATAATACTTCGAATAAA